AAAAAAATAATTGAATTATGAAATACAATGTAAAGAAAAATCAGTCTAACAGATCCCAAGTCAAACATTATAAACTTGGTCATTGAAATGGCAAAGACATTTACTCTCTATCAATCAAAAAGCAGCTTATTCCTCAATAACTTTTCTAAAGAAATAACATTAAGGATCTTCTCTCCTCCCCCATAAATTTAAAAGTAATTATATTGTATTGACAGCAGCATTTTTTTCTCACTTCCCCAAAACGTGAGAAAATGAAATCTGTGATGCTTCTGGAACTTTCACGTCCATACCTGGCTGAAACATTGGTTGTGAAAGACACACACTCCTTTATGAAGGTCAGAGGGGTGGTTCCTGTGATGTCTTCCCATTGAGCCGGCGAGGTGCCCCCTGGGAACAGCATGGACAGAGTGACTTTATCATTAAGTTCTCCCTGCAGACTGTCCCATTGCCTTGCTGTTCTGGCAGCCACTGAGAGAGAGGCCAGCTATAGTGCTTTGGGTTCTGCCGTGCTATAAAGGTGACCGGCTCTGCTCTCCTTCATGGTCTTACCTGCTTACAGGGAGTTCATGGGAATTCACAAATACATATATATTATTTTCTCTCTGGATCACAAGGGGTAGTTTAAACTTGGGGTAATCTGTCACTGCAAAGACTTAGTAGTTTCGGGCATGCATGTGCTAGTGGGTGTGGGTGCATGAATGCCTTACCCACACGTGTCTACGGGCCAGAGGATGACATCAGGTGTCTTCCTTCATTGTCCACCTTATTTTTTGAAATAGGATCTTTCACTGAATTTGGAGCTCACTGATTCAACTAGGCTGGTCAGCCAGTGAGCTCAGAGATAGATCTGCCTGCCTTTCTCCTCCATCCCCTGTGCTGCAGTTACAGACAAGTGGGTCCTGTGGATCATTCTTACACAGCAGGCATTTCACTAACCAAGCCATCTCCCTAGCCTCTCAAATAGGTTTTGTTTATTTATTTATTTTTTTAAAGTGGGGTGGGAATTATCAAGAAAGTTTAGGAAGCTGCTCATTTTGTCCTTGACTGAAATATTACTTTTCCCTTTGTAGAAGGAAGAACTGGATATCAAAGAATAAGATGAATTTGACTTTGTTTATCTTTGACTTGATCTCAGTGACCAATCGGGAAATCAAGATTCAACTGATGTCTGGATTCTAAAGTTCTTTTTGTGTGTGCGTGTATGTGGTGTGTGTAGGTTCAGAACTTGTTAGATTCAGTTCTTCTACCATGTGGGTTCTGGGTATTGAACACAGGTTGTCAGGCTTGTCTGTAAGTGCTTTTACTTGCTAGCCATCTTTTGGTCTTGAGGTCTGGATTCTAAGTATTTAGAATGTGTTCTAAGGTCTGGGTGGCACTGATGAGCACAGCTGGGTGACACCAATGGCATCCTCAATACCTCCCATCAGGCCCCGAAAGAACTTCTCCCAGAGTTCATTCACTTCCCTTGTCCAAAGGATGCTGCTGGGTGATTACCTCTGTCATGGTTGCCAAGCAATTCCCTAAGCACCCCAGTTTGAGTCAATAACACCTCACCAATACGGAGAGTGCTTGATTACTAATACCGTAATATCAGGAAACAACCCTGAAGTTTAAATATTCCAGGAGCCCAGTTCCTGGTGGAAATTCTTCCCATTGAAAGGCCTGAAGAGAATAAATACATGACCTATCCCTTGTTTTCTACTCTTAAACCTTTGTCACAGCAGACAGATAGGAGTGACTACAGGGAAGGAACCAAACCTGTTATGCTACAGAGGAGACGAAGGTTGGGTGTGTTGTCCCCCTTGTACCCATTGGACACGCCTTCTCCTGAGGGTGGGGGCACCGGAATGGTCATGGTGATTGGCTTATGGAATTTCCTTCTCCTTGGTTCCACAGTGACAATTGGGCTAAATGTTGCTTTGTTTCCAAGAATCTTTTTCACAATCTCCTCTGGAACAGGCTGAGCCTACAGACAGGGAAAGAAAACAAAAACAAAACCTTAAGAGTAGACTAAAAAAAATTTTTTTAAGTCGGAAGATGTAGGTTTTTATTTATTTATTTATTTATTTATTTATTATTTATTGTTTTGTTTTTCTGAGATGGGGTTTCTCTGTGTAGCTCTGTAGACCAGGCTGTCCTCCTTAAACTCACAGAGATCCACCTGCCTCTGCCTCCTGAGTGCTACAATTAAAGGTGTGTGCCACCACCACCTGGCTCCAGAAGATGTAGTTTTTAACTGAGAATGGCACGAGGACACCTTCCAAAAGAAATCCATATCTGTCTTTACCCTTTTTCTCACTGCTTCAGGAAGGCAGAGAAATGAAAAGACCCTAATGTGGGCAAGCAGTGGGTTTCCTGGGAGGAGGGGGGAGCTGACCATGCTGGCTTGCTGGGAGGAGAGAGAGCCGAATCTCAGAGCAAAAAGGAGGAAAGCAAGGGCAACCTCAGTATATGCTAATGCTGAGCAGGCTGCACCCCAAAGCCTCACAAAGTCACTTGGTACAAAAAAAAAAATGGAAAATGTGAGGCTCCAAGAGGTGAGGACCAATCTATAATTCAGCCTGGATGAATTCTAGTCAGCCAGACCTAACTTACTCCATTTGGTGTCTCCAAGGTCTGGTGAAGTGGTTCGGCATGAGGGTCAGGGGGTCAGGGGAAGGCAACCTTACTGACACTTATGGTTTGCAACTCAGAGTGTTTCAACTGCCTACAACACCCCCCCCACACACCCCCACACAACCCCTCAGAATGAGAGTCTAGCCTCACAAAGAATAGCTGATGCTCAGTTCAACTTTTGATCACTGCATTAACAGAAAAGATCATTTCATCATTTTCTGTTTATCTTCTGCAATAAAGAAAAACAAGTAGTTAAGGACTAAACTAACCGAATTGAGTAGATATAAGAAAGATCATTTTTGCCAAGATTTCTAAACCCAATCAAATTCTAACTGGTTTGGACAAAGCCCAGCATTTATGAAGTCCTTAAGCCCAAATGTGAGCACTTGCAAGTTTCAATGCAGCAGTGACGTGTTATAGGCCAAGCTCCAGATTCTGCTCTATACACAGAGACCAAGGACCTACAATGAGAAGGGGCATCTTCAAAACAAAACCAATGGAGACGATGCATATCAGTTGCAGAGGCCATCAGTGTGCTTTCTGCCTTATATTCTGAGACAAAGTCTTTCCCGGGATCTGGAGCTATCACTCAGTCAAGACTGACTGGGATTCTCCTATCTCCATTCTTCCGCCATCCCCGGTACATGCCACCACAGCTGGCTTTTTTTAAAGGGGACTGGGGATCAAACTCATGGTTCTCATGTTTGCCCAGGAAATATTTACCAACTGAGCCACCTCCCCAGCTCCAAGTGAGTCTTTTACATGGAACATTGCTAAGAATACATAGCCTTGTTTGACCAGTCAGTAAGCTAGCTTTACACTTAAACAGTTTCCATTTGAGATAAGTCAATCATCCCTCAAACAGTCTCATTATCAATGTTACAAATGAGGAATTACTGGAAGGCTTCTGGAGCAAGTCATGCTCACCAGTTCTCTACATGTACAGAGGACATGGAAAGTCGATACTTGGCGACCAGTACCTGGAGACCCACTCGGATCCTTTTGGTTAAGGCACCCTCTGGGAAAGATGCCTGGACCAGGGGCACGGTGGTGCTGCTCAGAATCCCACCCTCAGGACCGATCTGGTTGCTTTCCTGCTTAATCCGGGAAACCACGGCAAAATACTGGGGGAAATCCTTCGTGATGATCCTGCAGATGCGCTTTGTCCCCAACTCTTCTGGGCTGTCAAGTTCTGGAAGACAGAAAGGACGAGAAGCTGTGAGCAGGCGCCTTTGCACAAAGCACCTTGACACCCACTTGTTTTAAAGCAATTTTAAAAATTATGGTTTTGACACAAGGTCTCATGTGGCCCAGGCTGACCTCAAACTCACTAGATAGCCAGGGATGAACTCGAATTTCTGATCCCTTCTGGTCCTCCTAATGCTACCTCCCAAGTGCTAGGATTACAGACATGTGCCATCCATTACATACAGTTTTCTGGGGGGCTGAGGATTGAACTCGGGCCTTCATGTATACTACACAAGCACTCTGACAGGTGAGTCATAGTCCCAGCCCAAGAAGGTAATTTTTAGAATGTGAATTGAATCTCTAAAACATGCACATTGATCACAGTTGCAAGGTCCCCCAAGACATTTCAGCTCATGTGTACTGTGTGATGCAGGAATCAGTTCACATACAGTGATCTTCTCAAATGTTTCCTTTGCAGCTTTTTGGAATGCACAGTATACCATGGTCATTGAGCTCACCCACCTTACTGTATAGTACACTTTGCTCCTAGCTACTCTAACTTTGTACCAATGCTCAACCTCTCCCCACTTCTCCCCAGCCTCTCCTACCCATCATTCTGCCCTCAGTTAGTACAAGACCAACTTTGTTACCTTCCATGTCTGTATGATCATGTAGTATTTGTCTTCAACTCCCAATCTTAATAGTTAGCTATCTTTCTACTTAATAGCTACAGCATATAAACACACACACACACACACACACA